TCTTGGGAAGGGTGAGGTACTTCAAGTGGAAGCAGGGAGCACACATACCTTTAAAATGGAATTTGATAGATTTCTGGAGAGATTACGTGACAAAGCAGCAGTGATCCTTGAGCGGAAATTAAAGCTTGACCTGCGGGATAGGTGAAAGAAAAGACTGGAGATCTGGCTGCTGTGTTGATTGTTCTTGTGGCACTGTATGTACAGGAGATAAATCCAGTGCTTTGGGATTTCTGCAGTGCGGGTCTGATTCTTGCTTTTCCCTGGGCATCAAAGGATGAAGCCCGGCTAAAGTGTCAGGGCTCTGATGCTCCCGGTAACCATAGAGCCTTGCTTGCAAGTTCAAGGTTAAATTAATCATCAGAGTTTAGATCAGCAAGGCATTTTCTCTTGGGCCAGGTCAGCAGGACCATCAGGGTGAGTGTGCAGCACTGCTGGTGATAGAGCAGCAGAGTCCAAACCTTGTGACACCCATGAGATTCACAGTGCCGACGTTCCGCGCAGTGGGAGAGGAGGCAGCAGGAAGAGAAGGTGGGAACCGAGCCGTGGAGGTTCCCAGCTGTTTGCCTACAGGGAAGGCACCTGCAGCCTCTCAGTCTCCATTGCCTTGGTCAGAGCTGGGAACGGGTTTACTGCCTGCTGCTGCTCCCATTCAACTTGACAGCTCCTCTGGAAGTGCCCTTCCCGTCCTGGTAAAAAGTAGCCAGGAACCGAATTTCCCTCCTGTGGGGAATTCTGAAAATAGCTTTGTCTGCTTCAGAGAAAAAACATAAATGCTGTCATGACATGACTGCGCTGACATTGCTGAGGCACGGGTATGCAGAGCTTCACCAGTCCTCTGCAGAGGCCAGGCTGGCCGGGTGCGTCCCTGAGGGGACCCTGTTGCCTGGCTCTGTGCTGCTCAAGAGTGTCCGTCTGGACCACGCTGAAGATTCTCCTTCCATGGCATCCTGCTTGTTCACCAAGGATGGAGCCTGAGCACTGCAGTCCTTAGGCCATAGCATCTCTGCCAGAAACCAGCTCCCCTGTGGGTGGGGGACCTCTCCTCTGAGCTGGCGGGGGCCTTGTCTCCCTGCACCATGCCGCTTCCCCTTGCTCCCCTTCCCCTGGGTGCTCTGGTTGATGGGGGGGAGAGCTCTCCACACCCGGACCTCTGGATCCAGCTCCCATTTGTAAGATCGTTGCTGCTCAGAGCTGCGCCTCTTGGCTAAGCCCAGGCAAAAGGCCGAGCGTGGAGGCTGCCAAGGAAAAAGCCCCGCTTTGATGGGAGCTGGGGGCTGCCGGGAGGAAAGCGTGCGGGGCTCTGGTTGTTGTGGCTGGAGCCTGGCCAGGATGGTGTAAATTTAGCTGAGGACAGAATTTCCTCTCCCTGCCCCCATCCTCATCTCTGATCTGTGCTGGTGTCTCCTCCTCCAGAGAAGGTCCCATACTCATCCTCCGGTTGTTTCTGCTCCTTGCTTGTCACGTTCGCAGCCGCCTCTACCCACCGCACTGAGCTCCACGTGGCTGATCTCTGACCGTTGCCAGGTCCTGGGTGTTTTTCTTAAATGGGCGTATCGCTTCCAGCTCCGATGACCGTGCGATAGCGCAGCCCTGCGTCTGCCTTCAATTAGGGCTGTCGGCGAAGCGTGGCTCCTTCTTCCCTGGGCTGCTGCTGTGGGGCACAGCCTGGGGGCTCACCCCCACCTGCCCCCGCACGGCCGATGGGCCACTCCTGGGGAGAGTCTCTACGCTCCAGCCAGCTGCCCCGTGAGGAATTTCGCCTTCTGTGAGTTTACATCTAAATACATGAAATCACGTGTTTTCTCTCCTCTTCTCAGAGCCCATCTTTAGCATTGCAGGCTAGAAATCCCCCTTAACAAAGGGAAAAGTAGGACATTGCTCTGTCGCTGCCAGTGCACAGCCACAGCTCTTCCCAGACGTGCTGCGTCCCCTGCCCAGAGCAGCCCTCGAGGCTGCGCTCGCCCCGAGCCGGCTTTTACAAGCGAAAGGAGAGGGACGTTGCAGAAGGATGCGTGCGCGGTTTGGCTCTGCCCTGGCTCCGTCAGTAAGCAAGTGCTCAACACAGCAGCAACGCGGAGGCGCAGGGCTGTGCCAGACAGCGCTCGTTGATTCTTTTTTGAATCACAGTTTGACAAAAAAGGGCTGGTCCTTGAGGTGGGGTCGGCTTGGTGCACCCCAAGCCTGCCTTTCCCTTGATGAGAGATCGGCGGGTTGGGGCCGAGCAGAGCTCTGCTCTGACAGTCAAGAGACCTGGATTCTGCTGCCAGCTTCAGCCCTGAGGTGCTGCTGCTGCCGCCTGGCCGGAGGGGAGGTTAGAGGCGCCTGTGGCCCACAAGCCAGTGGAAGAAAACGCTTTGGTTTTGCTCTAGATCTCGAAAGGGCAAAGACGTGCATTTCCCTGCCGAGCTCTGCTGCACACTGTGTGTGAGATGTCCTGTGTGCTATTTTTCCTCTTTTAAGGGTGTCGTACGTCGGATTTCTTGTTGGAGGAGCAGGCCAGGGTTTACGCTGGGCATTTCCAGGGGCTGCGGGGAGAGGGAGGGGGGCAATCAGGAAGGACAGGGGCACAGTAAGGTTGGCTTGGCTCTCCTTGGGAAGTTTGTACACGGAGCAACCTGAGCCAATGGCCCTGCGTGTGTCGTGGCACATCTGAGGGACACAAACGTGTCCCCACCTTGGCCCGGCATTTCTGGTTTGGTGACTCTAGGTAGGAGAGCAGCCAAGATCAGCATCTGTAGGAGAGGCAGAGGAGGCTGAGTATGGGACCAATGGAGCCTCATTCAGCATCTTGAAAGCCATAGCACTGGCCACACAGTCTTAAGATGCTCTCTGTAGCCAAGACCTACCCTTCTGGGTTTCTTTTCCTAATCTGCTGCCTGCGTTCCCAGGCATGGCCTCCTGCCTGGAGTTCCTCCCTGGCTGCGAGTCCTGAGAGCAAGTGTGATGTGTGAGAGCTCAAGGCGCTCAGGAGACAATAGCTCCTTGTTCCTCCCTGCACTGTCAGCACGGCTCCTGGGGCCATGAACAACACTGTGGTTTTGTTGCGACCAAACCATTGTTGACTTCAGCTGTGATCCCAGCTCAGAAGAATGCTCTGATTTGGTGCAGTGGGCTCGTGGGGACACAGCATGCCTCCATGTGCCCATGGAAGATGCTTGTGGTTGGTGGCCATGTGGCCTGTGGTCCCCAGACAAGGGTTTATCCAGCCATGAGAATTCATGGGGGTTGGAGAGGGTTTGCTTGCAGCTATTGTGGTTTATGGTATGGAAGGACTGGTGAAACTTCTGTGTTATCTCAAGTAAGTTTGGATGCATCTTTGGTCTGCCCAGTGCAGACAGTGTAGTACTTGATTGCTCCTCAGTCATGCACAACCTGCAGACCCTGGTGGTGGAGTCCTCCAGTCAGGAAAGCAGGGATTAGGTATTGTGAATCTGGGAGAAAAAAACAGTGTCGTGAGCATGCCTTGACCTGCTGCTGGGCTGGGAGGACATTGCAGGATCATCATCTCCCTGAGGAACGGAGCAACGCTGCAAAGCAGGGGCAGAGCCGCCGAACAGGGACATGTTCTGAGAGGTGGCAGTTCTTGTCACACCTGGATCTCAGTCCAGGCCTTCCGCTTGGCGGTTACATGCAGAAACGATTGGGAACAAAACCCAACAGGTGTATTTTAAGGATGCTGCTGGCAGAGCAGAGTGGTTTGGAAAAGGGCTTCATGCATGCAATATGACAGCTGCTGTATGGCAGGAGTTTTCCTGCTCTGGGAGTGTTTCCCAGTTCTCTCCCATTTTTCTCAGCATTTAGGACCATGTGCCTGCAACTTCTGAGGTCGCCTTCCCTCAGCTTGCAGGATGGCAGCATAGGTAAAACGCTGTTCTTTTTCCTTCTTCTTTCCTTTTCTTTCAGCAGCACGTGGTGCGTTTCTGAGGCCTTTCCATTCTCACAGACTTCAGGCCACTGGAGACCTTGCAGTAACGTGGTACCTTATAGCAGGACCCGGTGTCAGCCACGCTTGGGGTGCGCGGCGAAGGCCCTGGGTCGTGGCCTGAGGTGAGCAGGGCAGCCCCCACTGATGAGGTGCTCTCTGGAGCCGCTGCCAGAGACCTGCGGTTCCCAGAGCAGCGGCGGGAGCTCTGGCTGGGGGCGAGGCGGGAGCATGGCAGCAACCTGCCTCCTTCCCCGTTGGCGAGCAGAAAGCTGCTCAGGAACCCGTGTGGCAAGTGGCAGGTTCCTCCAGCACCACCAGTGTTGCCATCTCGTGTGACTTGATTATACGGGCTGTGATATTAACCCCCCAGTTTCTGGAATCATGTGATTATATGAGATTATCAGCTTTTGTCTGTTTCAGATAAGTTCCTGTTCAGCTTCTATGGCTGCGTAGAAAAGCTGGAAGGCAGGTCTTATACATAGGTTCAGAATCCAAACTTGAGGTTTGAATGATTTTTCTGTGCATGCTAGGCCGTTGCTGGGATGGGTACTTGTGCTTAACAAATATACAGATACTTCTTTATTTTGAAATGTCTTCAAAGCTTAAATGGTTGTTGTAAGGTCCAGAACACATCAGCTGCTATTCCAGTTAGGTTCAGAGATGAGGCTGCAATGCAGACAGGACTAGACAACAGATGGACCCGCACCACGTGGAGGCAAATCCACATCAACCAGGACCAGGATCTGGGGGTTAAGTTTGGACCCAGCTTTTTGAGGGCTTTCTGGACCTTTAGACCTTCACACACGCAACCAGAAGCAGCACATTTTCACCAAGAGCAGGTTTTCTTGTGGCAAACCTTTGTCTCGGCTGCCTCAGTCAGGATATCTAAGAAATCCTCCAGCTGAATAAGCCCGTCTGACAAAAGGAGTCAGACTCATGGCTGGAACAGCCTCCGGTACGTGCACAACCGCTCCGCAGGACACTGGCAGAGCGAGAGACATTGCCTCTGGCCTGCGGCCGCGGTGGCTTTTGTCCTGTCCTTGCTGGCAGGCTCCTCCCGAGCACAGGCGGAGGCAGGAAATCCCGGGCAGCTGCCGCGGGAGCCCGCTCGCCTCTTCTTCCCTCGCCTCTCCTCCTCGCCTTGCTGGGCCGCCGCGCCGAGGCGAGCTGAGCCAGCCCTGCGTGTGTGTGCATGCGTGGGCGGGGGGGCTGCTGCATGGATTTAGCGAAGGCTGGGAGGGAACACATGGGTTGGGTTTTTTTTTCTTGGCCCGCAGCGGCTGTCCGTCCTGCCGGCCGCGGTTATGGATTCGATCATTATTCAGGAGCGGTTAGTGGAGCGGCTGCTTTCTCCCCGGACGCAGGCACAGCGAAGCCACCCGGCCAAGCTGAAGGTATGGGGATGTATTTATAGCACTGCGCGAGCCGGGGAGCAGCAGGGGCAGGAGGGGGGAGGATGGTGCCCGAGCAGACGTGCGCAGCACAAGATGAGACCTCTGAGGGGCAGAGGAGCGGAAAGACGCTGGTAAGGGAGAGATGGTGGGGACAGAAAGGAGGGGAGCAGCCCCCGTGGGAGCAGGGCCGAGGGGCGCAATGGACAGCTGGGAGATGCGCGACATGTTTTTGTGTGGTTATCTGATGCAGTGATTCCCTCTCTGAACGGCGTGTGTGTGCTCGGGGCGTTGCGTGTGTGCCCAAACGCAGTCTGGTTTGTGTTACCATGTTAACGCTGTCCTTTGCTAGCCCGTTTTCTTTCTGCTGCAGCGAATGCTGGTGGGCGAGTGGTTTTGCTGATACTCCCATGCTCAGCCCGAGGCAACAGATGTACATGGGAGATGCCCCAGGGGCTGTTGGCCTTATGAATTTATGCAGCTTTCTGGCAATGAAAGGAAGCGAAGGGTCTGCTTCTCCTCTGGGGCTGGGCTGTGCTGTTCCGTGCAGACGTGGATGTGGCGGCCGTGCCTGGCCAGATGGGAACGGCTGGAGGAAGGGCTGCCTGGGAGGGAGCTGGATGGCTTGCGCTGGGGGCTGTAATGCAGAGAGGGCCCCCCCGAAAACGTGGAGGCAGGGGCACCAGGATCATCCCCCATCATTTCTGGGGTTTGCTGCAGACCTGGGGTAGGGGCTATCCTTCAAATTTTCCGTGGTCCCTTGGTGTTTAATTTTAGCCCTTTTGAATATACCCAGCAAGGTGCCCTTTATCCCCAGGCTGAATGGTGAAGTCACATGAGATCTGGATTGGTTTAAACAGCACGTCCAGCAGGTTGGTGAGGAGGGAATCAGCAGTGGCAGGAGCGATGGAGGCCATGCTGCATACCCTCCCTTGGAGGTACAGACAGCCCTGCAGACACCCTGGTACCAGGGATGGCTTCTTCTCTTATGCAACAGATCCCGAATGTCTCTGCCCCCGACAGGAACAGGACTTGAACCCACCAGTGCTTTGTTCCTTGGCCTGAACTCCCAGGGAGAGCACTGCCTGCCAGGGAGCCTTGGCCACCTCGGCCGGGTGGTGGAGGACGCGAGGACACGGTGTGTTGCTGTGATGTCCGGTGAACTGGGGAGTGTGTGTACAGATGTGTTTTGCTTGGCTTGGGGAGCTTTGGTTTGTAACAGGACCCCAGAGGTCGGCCACATCTCTTGGTGGCCTCCGCTGCGGTGTGTAGGGCACGCTCCCAGGCGCGGGACGCCAATGGGAACAAAGGCAGCATGTGGAGGAGGCGGGGAGGGGGGCTCCTCGTGCCGGAGCACCGCTGGCTTGGCTGGCCGGGGGCCTTTGCTGACAGCTGGGGCTGGCGAGGGAAGCGCCGTGCAGCGACCGGCTGTCCCAGCTTGCGTCAGCTTGATGGGAGCTGGCTCGTGAGGGTCGGGAGCATGCGGAGGGGGCTGTGATGCCTCCAGGAACTCCCTCAGTCCATCTCAGTCTCTCATCTAATTAATGGATTTCAGCTTTTCACAACCCAGCAAGCCACCTGCCTCCTTCAGTAGCCCTCCCAGCCCTCTACACCCACTTCGGCGCTTTCCATCCTGTGGATGGTTGCTCTGCAGATAGCGTCCGTGTTGGGTCCTAACAAAGACAGTGAGTGGCTGCCTCCCACTGCGAGGGAAGCTCTTCTCTTGGCCTTGTGCTCAGCACTGACCTTCCTTTATGCAAGGGAAATGACCACATGAATCATGAGTAAAGGGCAGCGTCCTGCGCCAGCTGGGATTTGCTCATTTCAAGCGTCCTGATTCCACCGAGCTGTGGGGAGGTAACCAGAGGTGCAGTAAATCTGCGCTTTCTTGGTTGGGCTGAACAGAAACGAGAGATCAGGTTCAGCCAGTTACACTTGGCTGAAGTTAGTGGAGTTGCACCAGAGCTCAGCTCCCCAGCGTCTCCGTTGTCAGCCCTTAGTCATCTAGGTTAAAAAACAAGAAAATGAGAAGCACACCCCAAGCCTCAGCTATGGTTTTATTAGTGCGTTACTAGGGCTGTTTCACATGTCAAGGCACTGGAGAGAGCAGGTGATCGTTGTCTTTCCAAAGATCTTGCCATCATCACATTTCTCAGCCTGCCTTGCACACCTCGTGTTTACCCTTACCGAGCCTTTTGGGTGGCAGTTCGCAGTGTCCCCAGGCAGGAGTGGCTTTGCTGCGTACAGCTCCTCAGAGCTGTCGTCAGTTTTCACCCTGGGGTCTTGCCGCTGCTTGTGGCACTGCTGCTTTGGGATGCCAATGCCTTTTAGCTCAGCCATTAGAGCTGTCAGTGGAGCGCTTCGGGCACTCTCTCCCCACTTCTCTCTAATTTCGTTTGCTCCGTCCCTTCCTGCCTTTCTGGACTGTGGGGTGGTGGAGCAGCGTTGCTTCAGCTACGTTAGCAAGGGGGCGAGGGGAGGGAGACCGGAGACCACAGTCACTCTGTCTGTCAGGTCTAAAGTGACCAAGTCGGACACCCAAACCTAACCTAAATTTCTAGAAGGCAGTGACCATGCTAAAGAACAGAGTCCTTGGGCCACAATGGCCATCAGCCATGTCTGTCCTGTCTGAGTGGGCAGCTCCAGAGCAGCCATAAATTGGGAGGAGGGGACTCCATGTCCTCCCTGCGGTCTGTCGCCACCACGACTTCGCAGTCTGCCCAGCTGAGGACGCCTGAGGATGCTCACACCCGTGGACACGCGGCTGTAGAGGGCTGCTCGGGAGCTGCGTTGCCCACTTGCAGTGTGGAAATAGGTGCAAGTCAGCATTGCCCTAAGCTCAACACACCAGATCGTAATTTGTGTTTCTTTGAGTGTGTGCCCCAGGAATGGAGACAGTTAAACATAGGAACAGAGGTCTTCCCTGCTGTGCCTGGAGAACCAGGGCCAGAGAGCTGCGGGGGGAGGACAGCCGTATGCTTGAGGGCATCCATGGCCGGCTGGGCGCTGGGGCTGGTTTTGGGGAACTCTGGCTCTGTGGATTTGCCTGTGGTGTGAATCCCAGGGGTATGTTTATTTTACGTGATGTTGAAATGCAGAGTCTATGATGGCTCTAGCTCAGGCATTTGTGAACGGCTGCTTCCGCTTGGGTCTAAAAAAGTGGAAAGTATGTGAGAAGGGAGGTGTTTGCCAGGGTCCGTGCCCACTCTCCCTCTGTGACAAGGCCTGGGGAGGGGAATGCACTGCCCTGGGGGTGCGGGCTGCGAAGGCCCAGGGGTGCTCAGGAGGCTGGATGGATGGAACAGCCGGGCTGTGTGGCCCACAGGTACCTGCAGCCGCCCGAGCTGCAAGCACCAGACGGTGTGCTGAGCACCAGACCGTGTGCCGAGCCCAGCCTGAGGGCAGGAGCTGGAGCAGGTCTGTGAATCCTGTGGATGAGCCGTGTTGGCCTTTCAGGACGTACCCTGCATGAGCAGGGTGTGCGCCCTGGGACGCAGCGCAGGCTGCTTGTTTGCTCCTGGCTGCGGGATGCGTGCTGTGCGCTTGTGAGACCCACCATTGGTCATGTCACTCCTTGCGTGCACTTAGTGCTCATGTACAGAGCCTGTGCTGCGCTTGTGGGGTGGCTGCAGCTTGTACGTGGTAAGAGAGCACTTAGTGATGGGGGTCTGCATCAGGGGGTGGTTAGGCAGTAGGTAACGCTCCAGTAATACTATACGTAATACCCTCACTAAAAGCATCTCACCTGTGTTCTCAGTGCATTTGTGTCTTCCCACTTCCTGCACTCCCTGAACTTCTGTCTCTTCAGAAATAACACTAGAGATTATTCAGGATTTCCTCTTACTCAGCCAGGAGTGGCTGTGACACAGCAAGAAATAATCCCCGCTCAGGTCAAGCTCTCCACCATGTACCGCACGCGCGTCTGGAGGGAGAAACGCAGAAATGGCTCTGAAAGACCTGGGGAGAGGTGACATTTGATCACCCTGCTGTGAAGGGAGCCTGGGACTGTGCAGAAGCAGCAAAGAGCTGGGAAAGCTGTATGTCAGTAGCAGCCCCAGATGTGCTCTCTGGTGGGAATGGCGCGATGTGCCTTTTCCCTTGGGCCCTCCGTGCTGGGAGGCTGCCGTGAGCTGCCGTGTCTGCTGGTGAGAGCAGCTGAGCAGGGCTGCAGCTGAGGGGAGGTGGCCCTCCGTGCCCACTGCAGGAAGGGCAGAAGTCCCTGAGCCTAGAGGAGGTGCATGCCCTGCCCTACCCCACTGCCAGGGCAGGGACCGACCTCTCCTCTGCCCCTGCTCTGCCTCAGGGGCTTTTTGAGTCTGACTCCCTGTTGCTGTGTGAGGCTCGAGCAGGAGGGGCGGCACCCCCTGACCTGCTCCCACCCACCTCTGCCCTGCAGGACCACGAGAAGCAGTATGTGGGCTTTGCCACTCTGCCGAACCAGGTCCACCGGAAATCCGTGAAGAAGGGTTTTGACTTCACCCTGATGGTCGCAGGTGAGACTACCCGTGGGTGGAGGTGGCTGGGCCACACGGTGGGTGCCTGGAGGGGACCAGCTCTCCTCGCTTCCCTTAGGTGCTCCCTTAGCGTCTGGATCCTTCCCTCGCTCTGTTCTGGTCCTTGTCTCAGACCTTGCTCTGCTCCCCAGCCTGTGTCGCAGTCGCACTGTTCCCACAGGAGGAACGGGCCCCTCCTGACCACTCGTAGCCCGCTCGAGCAAGCACTGAGTGTAGCTTCTCCTCCAACTGAGTGGCTGGTCTGGGTGGTGAAAGCAGGGCCAGCCAGGGACTGAGGGATGGGAAGGGGAGGGAGGATGGAGGAGCTGGGAGATCACATTTGAACGAGGATTGAGACATCTTGCAGCAAAAGTCTTCCCACTGCTGGAAAAATGTAATGCCCATAAACAGCTTCTGACAGCTCATCTCTCTCACTTCCTCTCGCTCAGCATTCAAAGCCTTGTTCAGAGTTTCATTTGTAAGTCAATTAGTGGGTCATGTTGCTTGCTCTTCCCTCCTCCCCTTTGCGCTCTGTCAATCAGGAGAGTCGGGTCTGGGCAAATCCACGCTGGTGAATAGCCTGTTCCTGACAGACCTCTACAAAGACAGAAAGCTCCTCAATGCAGAGGGTAAGTTGGGGACTAAGGGGGCAAATAGTTCTTGTGCCCACAGGTCTGGAGTGTCCTAAGGACCAGTACTTTGGTTCCTTGCTTCAGCAGCAGCTACAGGCTTGACGGGATCCCAGCCCTGTTGTGTTTTGCTTTGCTCCTTTCCTGGCTGCTGGGGCACTGGTATTTGAGCAGGAAAGGTTTGGCTGTGGGTTCTTCTGTCCTGTGAAGGGAAGACAAGGCTGCAGAGCAGCACTAGCCCTTTGGGTTGGGACGTTGATATTTGTCTTTTGTTCTTGGGTGCTGGAGTGTGGTAGGGATTCCCCTTACCAAATGAGTGGACAAAATGTTCAGAACGGCTGGGCTACAAGCACTTCAGAGGTTTGTGCGTCTTCTCAGAGTTTGCCTGCTGCTGGCCTCCCACAGTACCACTCTCCTGAGGCTCCTTAGAGGATGATCAGGGTTTTTTGAAACCCATGTTACTCCCTGTGCTCGGTGATAAGGAGGGAGCCGGCTTGTCATGGGTGTGAATGGGGATCCCCAGTTATTGCCTGGCTTTAACTCACAAATTCCTGTTCAAAGAGAGAATCAACCAGACAGTGGAGATCGTCAAGCACACGGTGGACATTGAGGAGAAGGGTGTCAAGCTGAAGCTGACCATAGTGGACACACCAGGCTTTGGAGATGCTGTTAACAACACTGAGTGGTGAGCAGGCCACTGCTGCCTTCCTCCTAGTCCCTGGCCACATCTGTTTTCTGTGGGTGCTTCACAGGAAGGGGGTCTGGCAGCGGGAAGGGGGTGATACTGCCTCATGGTCCCTAGGAGACAGTGTCCTGTTAAACACATCATTTTGTTTTGGTTGAATTGCCCTTCCCAGCTGGAAGCCCATCACTGACTACATCGACCAGCAGTTTGAACAGTATTTCCGTGATGAGAGCGGCCTGAACCGGAAGAACATCCAGGACAACCGAGTGCATTGCTGCCTCTACTTCATCTCACCCTTCGGGCACGGGTGAGGGCCCCCGCTGCGGGGCCGGGGTATGACTCAGTCCGGAGGGGAGACCCTTGTGCCCCAGGATTGTCCTATAGCGGCTTGTACATAGGCAGGGAGAGTGAGACCTTCATCAGCCAAAATCTGAGACCGCTTTCCTGAAGATACAGCCCTAGCTGAGGGTTGTCCCAGTGCTGCCCCAGGTTCTTGTGACAGTGCTGTCCTTTTCCCTTCGTGCTCGGTGGGTGGGAGAGGCTGGAGGGGGAGCTGCCCAGTGTCTCCTTGCTAACCACGTCCTTCCTCGTCCCTGCTGCAGGCTGAGGCCTGTGGATGTCGAGTTCATGAAGGCTCTGCATGAGAAGGTCAACATTGTGCCCCTGATTGCCAAAGCTGACTGCCTGATCCCCTCCGAGATCCGGAAGCTAAAAGAGAGGGTGAGATGCTCTTTCTCTACAGAGGTATACCTGATGTGGTGGCAGAGGCAGCCTAAGGAGGGAGGGGAGATAGATAGATATACATAGATATAGATATGTGTGTATATATATAGTGTCTGTATGCGTGTGTGTGTGTGTATATATATACACACACAGAAAGTACCTGCAAATCTAATTGCAGCAGTGCTCTGCTGTGAGAAGGGAAGTGGTGTCTGCAGAGAGGCCAGCTCTAGAAGAAACATCAAATCCTTTCGCCATCCGGAGGCTATAGCAAACACATGGTAGCACAAACAGGGGATAAATCCAACATCTCTGTATTGTTCAGTGTTGTGTCCTTTTGTTTTTGTCTTGCATGGACACAGATCCGGGAAGAGATTGACAAATTTGGCATTAAAGTGTACCAGTTTCCTGAGTGTGACTCTGATGAAGATGAGGAGTTCAAGCAGCAAGACAGAGAGCTGAAGGTAGGGAACCTGCTCAGCCCCTGCTGACGGGGAAGTCAGGCTTGTGGCTATGTCGGTTGCTCCAGAAGGAGGAGAGCTGCCCTGTGTGTGCCAAAGGCCTGCGCTGCTGATACCCAGGGGACAGCCTACGTTGGCTCACGTGGTAGATGGCCTGGAGAAGGTGCTGATGTCCTTGTTGGTGCCATGAAGTCAAGTGTGGCATGAAGACATGGCACTTCTGCTCTCCCACCAGGCAATGTCAGTCTTTCCTCAGTCTGCCCCAGCCTGTATGTTTAAGATGAAGGCTGGGTTGTACAGCATTTGTAAGCACCTGTTTCTGAGTGATGCCACCAGCAAGGAGGGGCAATTTGTGACACATAAATTGCATGGGGGGAGACAACATGATCATACAGGCCTGTCTGGAGGCCCCAGCAGCCCAGGCCTGACCCTCTCCCAAGCTGAGCCAGCCCTGTGTGTGCATGCAGTATGGCCTTGTTTCTCCTGTCAGAGAGGTGCAAGGGGCTTTGACTCCCTTCTGAGCAGAGAGGAGCACAGCCTGTACATCCCTGCCTGGACAAGCTCTTGGCCTACATTGTCCCACTTGCTTGGTGTCCCAGCCTCTCTGCTCTGGCTTCCTTGTGGAGTTTCCCCTCCAAGAAGGGATGCAGGCATCTGCAGAGACACAGCTTCCCTCAGGACAGCTGAGAAGGTCAGGCTGGGAATCAGGCTGCCTGCAGATCTCAGTGCCTTAGGCTTTTCTCTGCAACTGGGTTGTGGTGTCCTGTGCTGTGGCACGTGTGGATGTCCCTGTGCTTTTCCTACCAGCACCTTCCTCCTCCTGTTCTGCTCTGCCCGAGCTTGGCCCTTGGAGGAGAGATCTGTGGGCAGCTCCAGGCTGAGCTGGGCTCAGCGACGCCTCTCATTCCAGGAGAGCGCTCCCTTTGCCGTCATCGGCAGTAACACTGTGGTGGAGGCGAAAGGCCAGCGAGTCCGTGGACGGCTCTACCCCTGGGGCATTGTGGAAGGTAAGCGTGGTGCCTGGGAGCCCGCACTGTGAGCAGGGGACAGGCAGGGACAGGGGAAGGACAGGCAGGCACTTGCAACAGGGATGGCAGGGGAGAGCTCAGCTCTGCACAGCTGTGACTGACCAGGCCATCTTTGGCACATGGCAGGGGATGAGGTAGGGTAGAGACAGAGGCACTGGGACCAGCTCAGGAGGTCTGTTACTGGGGGTGTAGCAATCACCCTGCCTCTGAAGTCATGACAGACTGAAGAAGAGAGGCTCCAGTGTGAATGGTAGAATGCCTGGGCTTTAATGCACTAGGATATGGCTTCTTATTAAGGGGGTGGCTGGGTGTTGCCAGTTTAGTTTCTGGGGAGAAGCCATTGCCCTCAGCCAAACTGAATCATAAACCCTCTAGCACCCCCTCCTCTGCTGCTGCTCCTGTGTGGCTGGAGTTGCCAGGCTGGAGGCTGTGCTGATGCACAATGTGTTTGTCTCTAACTTTCTTTCTTTCTAAAGGGAGAAATTTCATAAAGGCTGTAGGCAGAATAACCCAGGAATGGCTTTTGCTGCTGTTGCTGACTCCCCCATGCTGGTGCATTGCTTTAAGGTCTTGCAGCTTTAGATCCCAAAAGCTTGCGTGTGCACTCATGGGCTGGTGCCGGCTGCTTGGGCTGCCCAGATGCGGGCTGTGCTCTCTCGCTGGCTCCGGAGGGGGCTGTGCCTGTCGGGGTGCTGGCATTTGGCAGTGGGATCAACTTTGTGAAATCCTGGGCCTGGCACAGCCGGCTTCCCCCAGCCCTGCAGAGAGGTAAATGGAGATCACCACAGCAGGTACGCAGCTACTGAGCACAGCACTTCCCTGCAAAGCCCCGCTGCGCTGCCTGGAGCCTGGCTCCTCGTGGTGACAACAGCTCTTTCAGCTCTCCAGACCATTGCCTGCTCATGGCTTTGCCCCTCAGGGGCTCATTTTGCCTACAGGGGCCTTCCGATCAGTCCTAAATTCGGAGGAGACAAGCAGTTTGCCTCCAGCACTGGCTGTGCTCACTGTGGTTATAACAGTGACATCCCATGTACCTGGGAGCAGCATCCTCTTTCAGGGCTCTGCTCTACGTGCTTAATTAATCCTCTTACCCAGAAAAAGGCCTGGGAACACAGTGACCTCAGCAGCCTGGCCTCCGCATCGAGAAGCACAGAGCATCGTCGAGGCCTGTGCCAGCCCCATGGGGAGAGCCCCAGGCAGTGGTGGGAGAAGGGGGGGGAGGACGAGGAAGGGGTCCTGGGGGAGTTTTAGTCCAGCCTGGGTGCCAGGAGGCAAGAAGGGGCTCCCTGGAGAGGGCTGGTGAGGTGTGACATCCGAGCACTCTCCTGTGGTTGCTTCTGCAGTGGAAAACCAGGCACACTGCGACTTTGTGAAGCTGCGGAACATGCTGATCCGGACACACATGCACGACCTGAAGGACGTCACTTGTGATGTCCACTATGAGAACTACCGAGCTCAGTGCATCCAGCAAATGACCAGGTAGGTCCCCACTACTTCAACCGGAGGTGGCAGGGGTGTCTCGCTCTCTGCGGAGCTGGGGTTGCTCTCAGAATGGCTTGTTGGTCAGGAGGCTGTAGGTCTGCTGGGGACATGCTGGGCTGCAGCCTGGGGAATGGCACTGGGAAGTAAAATAGCAAAGCCAAGTGTGTCTCTCACAGCCTGAACCCATGGTGGGGATGCTTCTGAGAATCCATGTTCCTGTCTGAGGATTCCCCATGCAGACCTTGGGAGACAGGCCTGGAGATTCTTTTGAAGAGCTGTTCCTAGCACTGGGTGAAATACATCCAGCCTAATGAAACAGGGGATAAACCATGTTTCTGGTGGGTGATAGCTGTGTGCATTGCCAAAGAGGAAGGCATTCTGCAGTCTGCAGTTCTGTCCAAACGACAGCGTGACCCTTGGGATGCTGCTGTTTCTCAGACAACAGAGCCCAGGCAATTAGCAAGACTTAACAAAGCTCCAAAGATTTCTCTGCATTGTCTTCCCTTTGCATTTGATCCTCTGTGGTTTTAGTCACAATGATCAGAAAATAAGAGAGAGAACACTCCTGGGCTTCTCATTTGAAACCTCTTTTTTCCCTTCTCCCTTCCATGACTGAAATATTGACAAATTTTAGGTTGAAGTAGGCCTTGGCTCATCTGCTGTAAGCCATCCCTTCCCTTCCTGCCTGAGCTGGCCGGGTAGCTCTGTGCTGCCACGCCGCAGAGCAGAAATGGCTGTGCTTCACCAAGGACCAGTCCTGCATGTGTGCAAACAGAGAGTTTGGCACATTCTGTTCACACACAGTGTATCTCCGTATTTTTGCATAGCAGATGAACCTGTCTTTTTCAACAGTGAGAATGCGGAGTCCCAAAATAACTGTTAAATGCTAGAGATCTGTGAGAAGTGTCACAGCTGCTATTTAGGTAGGCTATGTATCTATTAAAAGAAGAGCATGATGAAAAAGCAATTGCTCAGCTTAAGAAAAGCTTAAGTTTGGTACCGTTTCTCACGCCATGGCTAGTTCAAGTGAACAAGTCTCAGAAAACCAGAGCGTGGCCATTTCTAGCAATGGGATAAAGGTCCTTGTCTAGAGAGACATTTTGGGAGGAGATCCCAAGCTCCAGGCCTGGAATTGACTCAATAATGAGCCAAGGGTGACTCCAAGTGGTGAACGCCTGCAAGTGGCATCTTGAATTCCCAGTTTCAGCCCAGACGTCCGGCTACTGCCACCCCCCCTCACCTACAGAGAGCTCCTCCGACTTCTGGAAGAAGGTCACCTCCTTCCTCTGTCCCCTGCCTGCACCCGTGTGCACCCCCAGCCCTCATCGCACTGCTGCCGTGCTGTGCCCCTTGTGTCTCATCTCTCCCACCTCCTGAATATGAGGGCAGGCTTTGTTATCAGACTTGGGGCATTTAACTGCTCCCCTGGTTTTATCTTCCTGGAAATAAAGGGCTGTGGTAAGCACGCGGTGCCCTAGGGATGCTGATAGTTTTTGCTGATGCTATGTGTACACACCCGCACAAATGAGCCAAAGCAGAGCAGATAAATTGTAAATGTCTCTGCTAAGCTTGCCAGTGGGGTTACAAAAGGTGGTCAGAAACATCAGCCTTTTCTGTGTTTGCTCTCAGTGTAAGCCTGGTTTGGGTTTTCTCTGCTAGCTACCCACAAGCTTCTATTTTGAAAACTTTTATTGACTTTGGTCTCATTCTGGACCTGAGTGCATCCCACCCCTCTGGGCTAGATTGCCCCACTGTGAGTGACAGCCATGGCGTGGTGACACCAAAGCCAGCCAGCCAGCCTGAACCACGACTGACTGTGTTTCTTCCCTCTCTCCGTCTCTCTAGCAAGCTGACTCAGGACAACAGGATAGAAAGTCCAATTCCTATCCTGCCTCTCCCAACACCGGACACCGAGACAGAGAAGCTGATCAAAATGAAGGATGAGGAGGTGAGACACATTTCTGCCTGGGCCTCCTTGGTGTTGGAGCTGGAATCTGAGGAGTTTCTCCAGGATTGCCCCATAGAGGCTTTCCTGGGGCTTCCCACTCCTGCCTCCCACCATCATGGGCTCCTGGTGTGGAGGACAGGGTGTGAAAGCTGTGGCTTCCTCTGTCAGGGAAACGTGGCTCCGTTCCGCCCCAGACACAGATGCCTCTGTGCTCAGGCCAGAGTTAATACTCTCGGAGGGATCCCTTTGTCAGCCCCAAGGGACTGCCCCCAGTGCAGATCACCAGCTCCCGGCCACAGCAGATCCATTTTGACTCTCTCTTCTCTGTCTCATGCAGTTACGGCGGATGCAAGAGATGCTGCAGAAGATGCAGCAGCAGATGCAGGATCAGTGAGAGGCAGGTACTCGGAGGGCAGAGGGAATCCCCCAGTGACCATCTGAGGCCTGGCAAGAGCTGTGGACGTTTAGAAAAGGTTTCCTGTTGTATAGAGACTTGTGGGCAAGAGCTGTACCCGCACCCTCTAATTTATTAGCAGCAATGCTGGCTTTGCGGTCCAGCTGGATTGTGGAGGAGGCTGTTCACTTAACAGTTTACTGATGTGTATTTCTTTTATAATAAGTATTTTTTCTTTTCTTTTTTCTTTTTTTTAAAAAAAAAAAAAAAAGAAAGTAGCCTGGGAAGTCTCTAAGGCATCCTAAAAAAGAAAAAAAGAAAAGAAAAAGATCTCCCTTTCCCATGTACTAATCTCTTGTTTGGGAATGCTCTGGTATTTAAAGTCCTGGTTTCTCTGGTGTACGAACTTGAAGACTATCTGTGTCAATGCACGTAAATGTTTACTCCCAGCTGAGGTGCTGTGCCCCCTCCCTGTTCCCTTTGCCTGGGGCCAGCACAAGCATTGTATAGGCAGCCGTACCCTCCCGTGAGTTTGACCTGCACTGCTTGGGCTGCTCAGCCTGGGGCCAGCTCTGGCCCAGAGAGCTGGGGCTGGGGCTTTCTCTGTGCACTGACCTGCTCAGGGGTTCTGATGGTTGCCTGGTTTCCTGCCTGGGTTTTTCTGGGGTTTTTTGTTTAGTTGGTTGGTTTTGTTTTTCCTATCAGGAAACCCCAGCATCTTTGCACTGAGCAGCAAGGGACAGTCTCTTGAGGTCAGTTAGAAGAAAATGGCTTCTGCTGTTCTCAGTTGTTTCTTTCTGGCAGAGAGGATGAGTTGTTGACTGTGGGAGTGAGCACCTTCCCAGCCGTGGTTTCCTCCCATGGCAGGCGGGAGGTGTTGGTAGAGGAACCCCAGGGCCCTGCAGTAGCTGGGTGAGGGTGTCTCCTGGTTTAGCTCTGGTCATCCAGCTGCAGTGTGTCTCCAGCATCTGCTCTGAAAAGCACCATGGCAGCCAGAGTGCCTGGCCGGGACTGCTTTGGGGGGGGTGGAAACCCTAGGGCTGAAATCCAACCCCAAATGCAGAGCTGTGCCCTACCCCCAGGCTTTGCGGTCCCACAAGCGCATTGCTGGCTCTGAGCTTCTCCCGGGGAAAGGGGCAGTTTTTGTAGGCTTGTACCAGAGATCTGCAAGCCGCCTGTCCAGGCAGGTGTTGGGTCGCCATGGCAGGCACAGGAGTGTCCCGGCATGGGGCTGAGCGCAGCCCAGCGGGGTTGGCACTTGCTCCCCTGCCCTTCCCCTGGGACTGAGCCCTTTTTCCCCTCCCGGGTCCGAGGCTCTTTCTGCCTCAGTGCTGGGAAGCCTGGTGGATCTGCTGGGCAGAGATAAGAGCACGGCAGCTTCTGTCCTGTTCTTGCTTCCTGCAGTATTTTTAACTTGAGTCCAGCCAGAGCAGAGCCCCGGAGTGTGATGTGCCTGACCGGGCAGGCCTCACCAGCAGCACCGCCGCGCTCGCAGGGAATCAGGGCTGTTGGGGGGAGAGACACTTGGCTCTTCCCGCCGACTCCAGGGAGTGCTGCCACGGGCTGGGCCCTTCTGCTCCTCTGGCTCCCGGCCTGATTCCTCTGTCCCCTTTCCCCCTTTGTATCTGCCCCTCCATCTCTGTCTCTCCCCAGTAGATCTCCCCGGGTAGGAAGCACAGTGTTGGCCAGGAATAGCCAGGCCCTAAATTCTGTTATTAGGCGCTGCGTTTGTCTGATTTCCCCCATGGGGCTTTGGAGTCCTGATCAGGGCTTGTCCAGGTGGTGAGTAGGTTGGCTGGTTCCAGTTATTCACTGTACAGAGCCTCAGCTTAGCCAGAACACGGGCTGCAGAGGCAGGGGAGAGACCCTGGCGCAGTGTGGAAGGACGGAGTGAGGGTGGAAGCCCCTTGGCAGAAATGTGCAAGCTGGGCAAGAGCAGTGTCCAACAGTGGTTTTTTTTTCCTTTCATTCTCCCCTGTCGTGGGCTCCTAAGTGACGTGGCAGTGCCAGCCTAGGAGAGGGGAAGGGTTCAGCTTGTCTTCAATAACATGGAGGACCAAGGTGCTTATGGAGGAAATACAGCCTTTCTTTGTGCGATGTGCTTAACTGAGCAGTGGAGTAGCCTGAAACAGGAGCTTCCTCCAGGTTTTCTGGAGCTGGTTTGCTGCTGTCCGAAGCAGGAGGACTGCTGAGTTCTCAGCTGAGTTCTCAGCTTTATCCGTGCTAGCATAACGGGAAACACCTTGCAGTACGTGTCCCCTATTTTCTTACACTAGTCTTGTCTGTGAAGAGGATGTTCTGTTGCAGATGAGCCCTGTCCAGCTAGAGGTATTCCTCTTTCGAACACATTAATTCCTAGAAGATAAAGGAGACTTTTACCCTTTAACGGGGACATAAGGAGCTGACAGCTTTTATCCTGGGCTGCGTGCAGAAGGGCTGTGTGCTGGTGAGAGCACCGGGTGCTCTGGGCACAGGCAGGCAGGATTGCTGAGGGTGGATCGCCCCGTCCCTGGGTGAGGAAGTCTCCCTCAGCTCAGCGCACATGGCTCCTACATCAAGCCGATAGTCACAAGTCTGTCCTCTCCAGAGAGCTGAAGTCTTGGGCTACCAGCTGCCAAAGATGGTTCAGGTTGCACTTAGAAAAAATGCACAGGAGCAAGGCACCAGAGATGGCTGCTACAGAGGGGCAGTGGTACTGCTGAAATCACCTCTCTGTGTAGGAGGCTCCCTGCCCAGAGCACCAGAGTTTGGGGGCTGCCTGGAAAGGGTTTAGAGATTGACTTTGGGGGGCACCAGGGATTCAGACCCTGTCCTGGGAGGTAGCAGCTGTTTATCAAAGTTTTGTACTGCTGCGTTGAGCTGCACAGCATGCAGAGAAGAGACTCCTGAACAAATGTAGTTTGGCCATTTGGCTCTGGCAGCAGAAGTGTGGATATGAAAGTAATTTAACACCTCCCATCGTGCAACCCTCCACAGCCTCATATGCGACCCCTGCACCCCCAGGCACATTCCCGCGCCTCTGCCAAGCCTTGCCCTGCTGAGCAAGTGGCTGCAGGGGTGGTGTCCCACTCTGCAGAGCTGTCCCAGGCTGCAGCTGGGGCTGTCGGTGCAACATCTCGGACCTTGTGCCTGACCGGGGAGGGAGCCGTGGCGTGAACTCCTTCTGTGCCGCTGCTGTGCTGGCCCTGCCTGTGCAGTCCGTGCTGCCTCCCCGCATGCCTCCCCCAGAGAAGGAGGGGGTCCCGCTCCTCATGCTCTGCGATGGCGTTCCCTGCTCCTCCTCACAAACCCCGCTGCGCTCTAACGCTGGCTTGCTCCCGCCATGCGCCTTCCTCACCCCCTGCTCCATTCCTAGGCTCTTTGTTTCCTGTCCATCTGTTGGGTTATTATAATATATATTTTTTTGTAAATTTCTGTTTGAACATTTTGTCATTGTGAACAAAGAAAAATGAAACCTTTTAAAACATATCCATTTTATTAAATGATTATTGTTATTATTATTAATAATGTTTACTACCTGAATTGATCAGTGAAATAAATATATTCAAAAAACAACCTCTTTCTGTTTAATTTCAGTCCCCTTGAGCAGCATTGGTGATACGTTATGGGCAAGAGAGCAAAACTGACGCTGTTTCTCCTTTTATCTAATTCTGTCGGAGCAGGCTGCAGGCTGGGCTTCCTGCATAGGATTTCTGGCCTGTGTTTATGTCAGAAGCTAGACAAGATGATCCTGAAGTTCCTCTATCTTTAAGCTTCCCCTAGGAGTGGTGTCTAAATTAGCCATGGGCAGCTGGGCAGGATCCAGTCCCCGGAAATCCATTTTGTAAGTAGCCAAAGGAGTGTGGCTGAGCCTGTGCTGCACGCAGAGCCAGGATGGGTCTGGCTCTAGATCAGCTCCATGCCACACCTGGCCTGAACACCTCCCTGTAATAAACCTAGCACCAAATGCATGAGATGAGGCCGTTGCTGAGCAAACTTACGCTGCGATAGTCAAGCTGCTCCCGTGTGGAAAGCAGGAAAAACTGGGTTGGTTTGTTAGCCTAAGATCTCTTTCCCACTCTGCCTGCCACAGTGAAACAATTGGAATGGTCTTCTCCAGCTGACTAGAAATTTAAAGCTTAATTGTTTTGTTTAGAGCATGAGAGATTTTCCCTTGGTTAGGGCTAAATTCTGCTGTTGTTTACACCGTAATTCCTCTTTAACATCAGCACATTCAGGGCGTTCATCATTTCTGCTCTGTACAGTGTGCACAGTATGAGGTAATGCGGAGTTGGGCCCAATGGGGCAACAGTTTTGCAATGTAATTCTGGTGGCCTTATCCTACGGAGCATAGCCAATGCCTAGAGTCAGGCTGATGGCAGACAAATGTCTGTGAAGGTGCAATGGCCTTGAGAAGACAAGATTCTACCTAAATGTAGTTTTGACCCTTGGATTTAACTGTTCAAGTATTTCTGTAATGCAACTTCTGAATAAAGGATGTGGTCAGTCTTTCTCAGTAACTGCAAGCTGCCCTCGTCAAGAGCTGCCGACTCACTTGGCTATCAAAAGAGCAGTTCCTCGGAGCGCTGTCTTCCTCAGTCTGTCCTCCTTCCTGTGAGTCTAACTAGTTTATTTTGATGTAGACAGTGAAATGCCAAGAGTTATATTTTACCCTGATAACAGTCATGAGAGGATGCAAGTGCCTGGAGGATCTTTCTCCTTGGCTCGACTCTTGACACCAGTGTGGTCACTGGAAGTCCATTTCTTTCAGCAGATCTTCCACTGCTAATTAGGAGTAGATTTGTGTCACTGCTTCAAGGGAAACCTCAGGGTCAGCATGCTGCAAAGTGCGAGGTTTCACCACTCTACCAAATATAGTCTTCCTGATGGGAAGCCCAAGGCCACAGTCCTCAGGGAGTGCAGTACAAACCAGTAACATCACCTTCCAGGTTGAAATGCACCTTGAGTTACTACTTTGCAATTGGGGCTTCGCGATGTTTCTGTTGGACTGAGCGTGTGGGCCCAGAATGACAGTTATCAGTACTGTCAGCATCTCTCCCAGCAAACGTGTTCTTGCGAGCAGTGTCAGCTCCCATTTCTTGAAAGACTTGCTCAAGGAAGCCTCAGCTTCTGGTGACAAGCAGCAAACTTGCAGGAAGGCCTCATGTGGGAGGTGTCCCTGGGATGAGCCTGACCCTTATCTTGCCAGCCAGCTGCAAGGGGATTATCCGGGAGCTCAGCTACGCAGCTGCACACACTCTTGCACTGGCTGGACTGCCTTAAGACCTTCCTCCTGTGTTGTAAAGCCAGCAAGAAAGCAAGGATTGAACTACTCTGGTAAGTCAACAAAGCCATCTTCTCTTTTTTTTTTTTTAATTTTTATTTGGTTTGCGGGTTTGGGAGAAAAGCCCTGCCTTTTTTCCGGGTTGGTGT